CGTTTTTAAACGCGCGTTTTATAGAACCAAGAGTTCTACATAGGCGTACACACTCAAACGCGCGCTTTTGGCCAAGCGCGCGTCAAACGCGCGTTTATAGATTTTTCTTAAAACGCGCATTTTTCGGGCGCTTTACTAGAACTCTTGGTTCTTTAAAACGCGCGTTTAAAAACGCCTAGTGTGTACGCAGCCTAAATCTCGTTTCAGTCAAGATTGAAACGGTCGATGGAGGTTATATGCGAACGGCGTACTGTACAAGAGGAACATAGCGAACGGGGTATAAGGCTCTAGTTTAGTAGTGTTACAGAGTATAATACGTATATTTTAATATATTTTTAAAAGAAACAAAACCGCTGAGAAATGTTACGTGTGTTTAACAACGGGTTCGGAAAACTTTGAAAATGTTAACAACGGGTTCGGCCGAACCTGTGCGAACCCGCTGAATATCACCACTAGCTATAGAGAACGCATTGCGAAAGGAATGAAGAATGAATTGGATACTACACCATTATATAAGAGTATAATACAGTATATAACACCATTATCTAACATAAAATATACCTGTACTGTAAAATGTAATGTGATAGTTACAAAGGAATGAAATTATAATGTCATACAATGAGATTAAAGGAAAAAGATTCAAAGGTATGGGATTAGGCGTAGCAAGAGCCATCGAGAGCTTGATGGGGCCCAGGGAGTAGAGCGAACTTCTTTTGCTATTTTTATTTTTCCGGCTTGTTATGTATACAGCAAGGGAAAACATTGGAGTCGTATCAAATTTTACCCTCTAGGCTTTTTGCAAATCTCGACGTCTTGAAAACCCCCTGAACCCAAAAAGTCAAAAAATGGTGTGTGTGTGTGAATTAATTTCGGAGTTAGATGGAGTTAGATAGATGAAAGACGAGACCAGACATGGAAACATTATATGTAGGAGGTCCGATTGGAAGCATTATGGGTGAACTTCCGATGCAAACTGAAGGTCATATTATTTCAATTCAAGAATTTTCTCCTGAAAGGAACTAGACAGATAACAGGCACGACTCTATTGCTCTAGGAAAAGTATGATGTACAGGGGCAAGTCATTCCTAATTTGAAGGTAAAGATCATATATTTTAAATTAAATAAATTAAAAATATGATTAAAAAATGCAGCCCGGAATTGTAACGATGTCACAATAAAATAATTGCTCGTTTTTTAATAAAATCTCGTAACGTCACAGACAATTTTAATTTTGTGCTAATATAGCAGTGTTTCTCCGAGAAAATTAGGTAACTTGTTGCTCAATTTTTTAATTAAATGAAATACATAAAATGTTTCTTTATTAATAGAAAGCAGTTTTGGAGGTTGTTTTTGTTAATAAAACAGCATTAATTTATAGGGTTAGAAACCACTCCGAGCCGACGAAAAACTCTCATGTTCCTTTCTCTCTCGATGGCCCTGGGAATAGTACTAGTATAAATATATAACAATTTGGATTTATACAGAATAGATCAACGATAGAATCAATTTTTGCAGTTAGGCAGATGATAGAAAAATCTAGAGATGCTAAAATGAATTTGAATATATATTTATAGGTTTTGAAGCTCATGATAGGATCTTGAGAAGTTCTATATGGCAGGTTCTTAGAAGGGAATAGAAAAGGAATACCTAAGAATAGTATAAGATAAGTATAAGAAGTCAGAGACTCATGTTAAAATATAGGAAATTTTAAAATAGAAGTAGGTGTCCATCAAGGTTCAGTATTAAGTCTATCTTTTAATCTGTTAGATGAATTGTTAGGAGATGAAGTCAAGGAAAAACCACGATGCAGATTATGTAGTACTTAGGAACAATGTTAGGAATTAGACACAGATATAGCTAACAGATTAATTTAGCATAGCAAAAATGGCGAATACAAGTGAAATAAAAGAGTACCAGTTGGATTAAAAGGAGTTTTAAAAGACTGTTGTTATAACTTCATTGTTGTTTGGATCTGAATGTTAGAAAATGAAGAAATCTCAGGTAAAAAAGATGAGATAGTAGAAAGGCTTAGTTTTTGTGGTGTAACTCTAGCTGATAGAATTAGGAATAAGCATATAAGGAGTTGTTTCGGAGCATGAAACATTAGAGAGAAGCTTATAGAAGATAGACTTAATTAGCTTGAGCTTATGGTTAGAAGAGAATAGGTTGAACGGGTTAGACAAATTAAGAACTTAGAAACAACGAGAAGTTGCAGTTAAATGAGGAGGTCGAAACAGAATAGTTTGAAGGGCTATGTCAAGACCCGACGGGAAAAGGAACAAACCAGGATGATGAAGAAGATTAATGATATTTTTACAGAATTTCAAAGTAATTAGATAAATTAGTCATGAAAGAAATATTTTAAATTAAATTGAAATTTTATAGAAAATTATATAAAAGTATACAAATAAATTCGGCATCATTCAAATTAAATTACGTGTGATTTAAATTTGAGTTTCTACTTATACTGAAATGTAAGAATCTGTGGCGCAATTAGAAATATGGCGTCCTAGGCCCATAAAAGACAAACGTCCCCAAATTAACAGCTTTTGTACTAAGTGATTCTATTTTATAATTTTATTTCTGCAATAATTGTATTTTACAGATTTTTAAATAACGAAACGGCAAAGGGCGTTGCTATTGAAACGAGCAATTAGTGGCTTTTACTGCTGCAATTTTTAATCATATTTATAATTTATTTAATTTAAAATATATGCTCTCAAACTCAAATCAGTACTGTAGTGTCTTGCCCCTGTACATCATACTTTTTCTTTAACGATAGAGTCGTGCCGGTCATCTAGTAACTGCTTTCAGGGGAATGTTTTAATTGAAATAACGTGACTTTCGATTTGCACCGGAAGTTCCTGTATAGTAAATTGCAGCTTCATGCTCCTAAGGTTTCGATATCTTTCATCTTTCATCTTTCTTATCTAAGGTCTCATCTTTTATCTATCTAACTCCGTTCTCAAAATTGAGGAAGGACAGTTGACAAACGGACAACAGTGGGAATTTATAGGGCTACAATTTTTTTCCAATTACAACTCAAACACATCATAAGTACTATCGGTCTTTTCTTGTAAAATATATTAATACATTAATACTATTAATTGATATGTCGACTTTGTCTTTACTTAAGCTTTTAAATTGCACTAATTGAATTGTTTCTATATAAAATTATGTTTTCATTATTTTATTATTATTAGTTTGAATTTTTGCTCCCTTAAGCATAATGGATACCTCTCACTAGTAAGAATATATGTAATCTATAACTTTTTAAAATTTATTTTATAGCATTAATAATAAATTTAAATATTAATTTTTAACTATAAAATGAGTATCATAAATATCTCACTCACAATGATTTAAAACTAATTATGGATAATTTCATAATTAGCATTAAATCAAATTATAGAGAAAATATATGCATTTAAAAATTTATGTAGTAAATATAAAACATTTTGTTCACAATATTATACATACCCTTCCTCCTTTTTATTTTTTATAAAAGGAAGTACTTTATCGTCATACTGAAATGATGCCTAAGAATAAATTTTAAAAAAATTTTAGCACTAAATTTCTACGTTGACTCGATATACTGTATTAAATGTATTATATATTTTTTAAACTTACCGTTTGCAATTTATGCGAGTCTACGGCTATATAATCATAAGTTGTTTTCCTTCAAAAATTAAAAGAGGAGGATATATAACAACGTTTACTTATTAGTCAATAAAATAATCTAAACTTACTCGCAAGGCATTCCACAACTTTTATAGCATGCTTCTCTACGGACAGTAAAGTTGTTCTTAAGACAATTTTCTAAAAAAATATCTTTTTATTAATTAAAAATTTTTATAAAATAATAAAATTATATTTATTGTAATTTGAATTTATATTTTATATATAATAAAGAACCTTTTTCTTTTTTACAAGGAATATCTTCATATATTAGCGCAAATCGATGATACGTACAATTGCATTTTTTCAAAGTTGCCATAAAAAGGCATTCGGCAAGACAATCCTAAAAAAAATAAGAATAGAGATGTATTTATAATTTAATTTTTTGCCGATCAAATGATTATATATTGTCATGGCTTCAAAATTCTGCCAATTAAATATACTTCTTAATCGGCGAAATTAATTTAAAATATGAAATCAAAATAGTATCTCGAATTTAAATGTTGTTAGGATCTTAGCGTGTAAAGATCTCTAATCATAAAAATCGCTGTTTAATATCTAACAAAGAATTGGTTTAATGGCTCGGACTAGATACCGGTCACGTCCTGCCCGTCTGACTGACCCTGAACAAAAGACATCCCCGAATCTCGCGCCCATACGTAAGTGTTCCAGATTGGACCCGGTCGTTAGGTTTACACACGTGCAAAAACAACAGACCCAACAAATGACATAATTTAATATTATTTTTCTTGTTATGGTATCAGGTATACAGGGTCGTCAGAAGCTTGGATGGGGCCCGGGGGTAGAGTACACCCCTTTTTATTCTTAGCAGTCCTTTTAGCCATTTTTTAAAAATAAATGAAATACTTAGAATATTTCTTTATCAAATAAAAAGTAGTATCAAACATTTTTAAAATAACTTTAATTTTATAGGAGTAGGAACCACTAAGAGCACTAATTACTTTCTTAATTAATTACTTAATTAAAGTATGGCGATCGATCAAAAAATGATCCCCCAAGAGTTTTACATTTTTGGATTCAGGACACCTCGAAACGTGGAGAAATGCAAAAAAATTTAGGGGTAATTTCTGTATGTGGATGTTAGTGTGTGTGTGTGTGAGAGGGTACGATTTTGTTCACCCTGTTTGATGCTTAATAACTCCTGTGATTTTTGTCGAAAATTTCTGAAATTTTGCGGAGAGGTTTGTTTATTAGGGGAATTGATGCTCTTTAAATTATGGCAATTAAAGGTTGAGGGGATGGGGAGATAAAGGGGGTCGTGTGTATCTCCAGTAAGGTCAGACTTAATAACTATTTTACTCGTTATTAGCATTTACAATTTTTTTTTATAAAACTCATCCCTACCTCAACATTAAGCCTTTTGCCATTTTATAACAGTTAAAAATATGAAAAGTTTTTAAATAAAATATGATAAGAGATGGTGCCACCAAATGTTGCGGGAAAATTAAGCAACTCGTTACTGGATTTTTTTTCTCGGTTCCGGGGATAAGTCTCCATCACTTCTCTCTCAGTGATTGTTATTTATATTTTTAGTTTATTTAAAAGTCTATTTTTTCAGCATAACTTTTTGAGAATGTTGACAACGTGTTACGCATTATACTTTCTTAAATTTACCATTATTCACAAAGTTTGTGAAGTTGAATTATTTATCCCATTTCAAATTTTTAAATCAAAAGTATTTATAAAATTCGCTTCAATTAAAGGTTACAAATAAAATAAATAAAAATATGTATAAAATATAATTTTAAAACTGATATAGTTGACTAAGATTTAAAATACTTTCTATCTGAAGAGAGAGAGATGACAAGAGATACAGTATTTAAATAAACTATATTTTTGGGTTTTTATGAAATGTGTTCAGAATTTAGCTATATACTTAAGCACATTTATATATAATCGTTATTTAATTTAAACTCATATAGGCCCTACGTACACAGAGTTAGCATAATTAAAGAATTCATTAATTATGATCACCCCTGTATATCAGTAATATAAATAAACGGTTGCGAGTGTCTTGTTACAGTTATTAAATAACTTAATTATAATTCAAATAAAATATTAAAGTCAATCTTTCAATATTTTAAGGTCCCTATTTTATATGACTCAAGTAAGGATAGATAATTTTAGTTTACTTAATGTTTTAAGTGTATAATATCACTAATATTTTTTCCAAATCATTAAGAATTCATCTAACTTTAATCACAGGCACTTTATAAAATGAGCTAAATTTTTGTATATCCCTTTATTTAGTCATACTAAATAAAATATCAAAAGTCTCCAGAATTCTACTCTACGCTTAATGTTTTACAATGCTAAAAAGAGGTGCTTACAGGGGATATAAAATTGGTTTTTCGTTAATATCTCTGTTGCTATTGATTTTACGGCAACGAAGGTTTTATATAAACGTGAAGATGAGAAAATTCTTTACAAAAAGAGTCCTTATTAATTTTTTGATACAAGCGATAGTTTCTGCTCAATTTAAAGTTGAAACTATAAATCACCACACTCATGCGGATATTAATTAAAGTAGATTTGGAAGAAATGAAAACATACATTTTATTAATACACACAAAAATTAATCATTTAGAGAAGTATCAATTTTAACATATATCTTTATCAGAGGTACGGTAGATGTTAAAATAAATGTTACCGCTAAAGCTCGAAAGTCGTTAATGTGCACATTACCTAGCTAATCTGCAGATTAACTAAGGTGATCCGTTAAAGTTTCTAAAATTGTTCTATTTCTCAAATTACCTAGGTAATGTGCAGATTATCTAGGTAATCTGCAAATTATCTACTAGGCACTCGGTAAAGTGAAAATAAGATCTTTGCTGAAACAACAGCAACGTTTCTGTACGCTTAAATTAACATAATGTTCTTTATTTAATTTTCGATATCTAAAGAATCAAGTTAATACAATCAAACAATCGACAAATTAGTTGATAGAATCAATCATCAACCAATTAAAAAACATACAAAAAATCAAACGATTTAAAACATTAATATAATTAGGAAAATTATATAGATAACCACCTATGGAATTTTGGGACTTTGGGTATCTATCTGAACGGAGGGGACTGAGATGACTTCGACGATACCCTACTTTTGGACCGGAGACGAAAAATAATAAAGTTATCATACTTTTTCTGGTGATCGCGTGATGTAATTGTGCAGTTAATGTTACCTATGATGAGTAAAATGGCGGCTCGTCTCTGATTCCAGCAAACAGAAGAAAAGAAACAGTGGGGACGCACGTTTCTAACCTATTCTAATAAATTACCATAATTATTACCAACCAAATTATTAGAATAGGTTAGGTTATGTTTGAACGTGCGTCCCCGCTGTTTCCTTTCTTCTGTTTGCTGGAATCAGAGACGAGCCGCCATTTTACTCACCATAGGTAACATTATCCAATTGTGCTTACTTATTAGTGCAGTCTAAAGATTGGTGACACTTTGAATTTCATAGCAATTAGTTTTTGCGACAAGCATACTATTTGTGGTACATTTATTTGTGGCAAAGATCTTATTTTCACTTTACCGAGTGCCTAGTAGGTAATGTGCGGATTACCTAGATATTCTGCATATTATCTAGGTAATTTGAGAAATGGAACAGTTTTCACAACTTTAACGGATCACCCTAGTTAATCTGCAGATTAGCCAGGTAATGTACACATTAACGACTTTTGAGCTTTAGCGGTAACATAAATACGAAAAAGATTACGCTATCATTCTTGTTCTTAAACGAATTCATAAGAATAGAAGCCCTGTTCAAGATAATCTAGCTGGCCAACTTCTGTCTCTTGGATTTCCTCGTCTTCATTGATGACTTCTTTATCTGTCATTCTTTGATAAGGAAAGGGGCCTCTTTTGTAGAGAATTGTCTCATCTTCAAGTTTATATTTAACCTTCGTTATCGTAAAATCAATAGCAACAGAAATATTAACGAAAATCCAATTTTATATCACCTGTAAGCACCTTCTTTTAGCACTGTAAAACATTAAGCGTACAGCAGAATGCTGAGAACTTTTGGCATTTTATTTAGTATGACTAAATAAAACTGTATGCAAAAATTCAGCTTGCTTACAATTTTTCCACAGAAAAAACCTAAAGTTACTGGACTATATAGACTAACAGATTGACCTACCCGCCAAATTGAATTCTGGAGCAGAATGCACGTAAAACTTTACAAATTTAAAAATAACTTATTTGATTGGATTTCGATAGAAACGGCTTTCTTTTACTCTTAAAATTACTTTCTAATTACAGTATTTAATATTGTAATTCACTTGTTTCGTTATTTCCGTTATTACAGTACTTTAAAAAAAGAACTATTTGATTTTTAAACCTAAAAATCTCTCAATTTCCAATGGGTATGTCAACTGTCTTAACTGTTCAGCATTGTCACGGTGTACGAAGTGCAGACCATAAGAAGTGTAATTTTTCGAGTGGGAGTGAACATCCTGACGTGGCATAGCTGCATTACTAACGACGACGATAATAGTGAGGTCGTAAACGTATTGGTCAACGTTAAAGTCGAAAAACGTGCCCTTGTTGTGACGTTTTCACTTTAGATCTTGTAACTTCAGAGAAGCTGGAAGCAACGTGCTTTATATTAAACGATGTAATTTAACCCTGCGTTAGTGCACTGAGTTTTTTCCGGCATTAGTGCAGTGGGGCGTTTGTCCACCCCAACATTTTTTTGGGTCCATAAACCATGTAAGTAAAAATTCATAAAGATTTACTCATTTATTTGGTAAAGTCATGTGTCATTATACATATGATTATATTCAGGTATGATTACATATTATATTAGTACATAAATCCACGAAAATAAAAAACAACATTTATCAAAACTCATTACATTAGATCTTATTATTAAACCAATAGTAAAAATCTAAATTGTTTTTTAAGCATTTTTGTCACTCTGATTCAATAGCT